AAGATTTTTATTTATTTATTTGAGAGAGAGAATGAGATAGAGAGAGCATGAGAGGGGGGAGGGTCAGAGGGAGAAGCAGACTCCCTGCTGAGCAGGGAGCACAATGCGGGACTCGATCCCGGGACTCCAGGATCATGACCTGAGCCGAAGGCAGTCCCTTAACCAACTAAGCCACCCAGGCGCCCTGTACTATAAAAGATTTTAAACGTGCAGAAGAGACGAAAGAATTTTGCAGGGAACACCTTTTTTTTTTTTTTTTTTTTTTTACGATTTTATTTATTTGTCAGAGAGAGAGCATACGCAGGGGAAGTGGCAGGCAGAAGGAGAAGCAGGGTCCTCGCTGAGCAAGGAGCCTGATGCGGGACTCGATCCCAGGACCCTGGGATCATGACCTGAGCCAAAGGCAGACGCTTAACCGACTGAGCCACCTAGGCATCCCCATCTTACTTTTTTTAATGCATTTCAAAGACAGTTTTGGGCACCCCCGAATATGTTAGTATATGTATCATTAACTAGAGTTCAGTGTTTATTTATTGTTCTTTTTTATTGTTTTGCTGTAAAATTTCCAGATGATAAAATGTAAATACACGTATCTCAGTGTACCACTTGAACTTCATACAAATGGGTTCAGACGGTATGTATTTTTGTGCACCTGGCTTCTTTCAGCACGTTTCTGGGCTCATCCATGTGGTTGTGTGGATCAGCACTTCCTATTGTATTGGGTGATACACTGCTTCAGCTGTTCATTCTCCCATTGATGGACACCTGGACCAGTTGCAGGCTATCATGAGTAAAACTGCGAAGAATATTCACGTACAGGTCTTTGTGTGGACATTCACTTTCATCTCTCTTGGGTAGATAGGTACCCGGGACTGGGATGGCTGGGTCATATGATAGGTGTATGTTTAGATTTATAAAAAACTGCCTTTTTCCAAAGTGATGGTACCAATTTACATTCTCTCCAGTAACTCGGGAGAGTTCTGGTTCCTTCCCACCCTCACCAACATGTGATGTTGTCAGGCTTTTTATTTTTTATTTATTTTTTTTTTAAAGGTTTATTTATTTATTAGAGGGGAAGAGAGAGCGAGGGAGGGAGGGAAAGAGAGAAAGAATCTCCAGCAGACTCCCCACTGAGCGTGGAGCCTGATGCAGGGCTTGATTTAACAACCATGAGATCATGACCTGAGCTGAAATCAAGAGTCGGACACTTAACTGACTGAATCACCCAGGCACCTCTAGAGCTTACTTTATTTATTTATTTAAAAAAAATTTTTTTAAAGATTTTATTTATTTGAGAGAGAGAGAATGAGAGACAGAGAGCATGAGAGGGAGGAGGGTCAGAGGGAGAAGCAGACCCCCTGCTGAGCAGGGAGCCCGATGCGGGACTCGATCCCGGGACTCCAGGATCATGACCTGAGCCAAAGGCAGTCGCTTAACCAACTGAGCCACCCGGGCGCCCATGTTGTCAGTCTTTTTAATTTTAGCCTAGAAATTCTAGTGGTTGTGTCATGATATTTCACTGTGGCTTTAATTTGCATTTCCCTAATGACTGATGATGTCGAGTAGTCTTTCACCTGCTTATTGGCCATTCAGATGTCGTCTTGGAGGTATTTTCAAATCTTTTGCCCATTTTTAAGAACGAACTTGCTTGTTCTCCGTTAGATGTATGCTTTGCAAATATTTTCTCCCCGCCTGTGGTTTGAGTATTCCTTGTCTTCATGAAGTGTTTTGATGGCACAATTTAAATTTGGTACGTTTAATTTATCCATCTTTCCTTTTATGGTTCTTGCTTTCTGGTCCAATCCACTAAACTTTGGCCTGCCCATTGGAGAAAATGTTGGTACCAGGGAACCTGTAGGAATCACAGGTGGATAGAGCAGGCTGAGCCTCAGGAGCACCAGGTGGGGAAATGCAAGTTTTGCTGAGGGGATGGAGGGCAGCCCTTTGTCGGGGAGTTTACATTGCAGGGTGGGGCTCAGAAAGTGAATGCATTCAATAAGGAGACTGGATTGGATCCTTTAGGCAGTGGGAGCCATTGAAGGGTTAAGAGCAGGAAGGGACATGATCATAAGGGAGAGATGTCATGGTCCCTCTGACACTGGAGCCTGGAAGGAGTTTCTCCTCGGTCAAGTTGTCCTCAGGACGCAGGTGGGACTTCCAGGGAACTGGGGCCAGGGAGCGGCTTCATCTCTATGGATCTTTGAAGACTCTCTGTGGGCCCAGAAGCAACCCAGGTCCCATGAGGTCTTAGTGGGCCCATTTCTTGCTGAGGAAGCTTGCATGTTGGTGTGGCCTAGTTACTAACCAGCAGCCCAGGGAAGGCATTCATATACATGGACTTAGAGTCAACTCTGCCAGTGGTTCCAGCATCCTTATGTGGACCCCCACACTGCCCCCTCTGACCTCCCCACGCCCCAACCCCCTAGGCCCAGCACCTGCCAGCCCCCAGGCTTCCTCGAGGTTTCTCTGAGTCAGGTGGCTCAAAGGCCTTTGCTCTTTCCCAAATATCTGCATCCTTGTTATAGCTCAGCACGACCTGACACACTCTAGGTCACTCAGTCACCTTGTCTGTCATCTGGCTCCTCTCCTAGAGATGAGTTTTGTTGTTTTTGTTTGGTTTTGTTTGTTTTTTACTCTTGTTCTTTGCTCTAACCCAGTTCCTGGAACAACATCTGGAGCTTGCAGGCCCTCAGAAAAATATCCATAGTACAAGTGAGTGGGAGACAGACCCCTCCTTTCTCCCAGAGCCTCTTTGTTTGATAATGGCTTTGGTTCTAAGGAGAAGATAAGGACATTTGTCCCCAAAGCCCAGGCCCTGCCTAGGGGCACCCAATAAATGGAGGAATCTTCCAGGCCACCCCTGGCCCATTGCACAGATGAGAAAACAGACTTGGAGGGAAAGGACTCGCCAAGGCCTAAGCCTAGTTGGTGGCAGAGAGAAAATGGGAGCTCTCACTCCCAGCCTCCATGAGAGCCCTAATCTGCCCCTGGGGAAAGGTCCCCGGCCAAGTGAGGAGGTTTAAAGATGATCGGGAAGCCTTTTGGTGCCAGAAGATAGTTTTATGTTTCCAAGGGTGGGGGTTAGAGGAAACTAACAGGCCCCAGGGTGCTTCTTTTCTGGGTAATTCTGGCCTCCAGCCTCTTAAGTTCTTTCCCCCGGAGGAGATGCTATGACCGTGTACTTCAGGGCCTGGGAAGAGCTTGCGGCAGTATCAGCTGGGCTGCCCTGGACTTGAACTCCAAGTGAGGCCCACTGAGCCCCCGTTCCACAGCCTGTGGACATCCATGGGGCCGCCATACTGCCCCTCCCGGCCCCACAGTGCCTGCAGCTGCCTCAGACATTCCTGTTGTCCTGGTGACCGGGCACACTTTTCAGTGTGGACCCGGCGGGGAAATCCACAAGTATCCGTGCACACACAACATCCGTGAGAAGGAAGGCTTCTCGGAGGATTCGGGATTGGGGCGTCAGGAGGGACTTTTAGCCAGGACCCAGTCCTTCCCTTCAGGAATTGCTGTTCCCTCCTCAGGACTTTTGGGTCTTGCAGGCCTCTTACCCCTTCTCCCCTACCACCCGGTTCCACTCTCCTGTGCCTTTAACGGGGCTCATCCCGGCCTCGTTCTCCCCCCACTCCCCAGCAGCTCCTTACAGCAACTGCTAGCCAGGGACACAGGCAAAAGAGAGGCAGCAGCCACATCTTCCTACCTGTGTAACTACCTCTCTCTGTCTGATGCAGGTTCTCACCCCTGCAGATACCCTGAGAGATTTAGTTCCTCGGAATCAAAACTGACCTGCCAGTGTGTGCAGGGGGTCCAGTGGAGTGAGCATTTTGGGGGAGGGTCCGAGATCTCTTAAACTGGACCTCTTTTTGGGTTTTTGCTCTTTCTCAGGCCTGTGACTGTCCTCTTTCCCCCTCCCTGACTGTTACGTCCTTAACCCGGGGGGGGGGGGCGGGGGGGGAGGGACAGAGAGTATTGACTGGGAGGGGACACGAGGGAGCCTTCTGGAAATGTCTGTATCAGCACAATAGAAATACAATGCAAGCCACAAATGTAGTTTTAAATTTTCTAGTAGCCACATTAAAAAAGTAAAGAAATAGGTGAAATTAATTTTAATAATGTTTTATTTAACCCAATATACTCAATCTACTATCATTTCATCATATAATCAATGTAAAATATTATTAATGAGCTCTTTTACAGTCTTTTTTTTTGCGTATCAAGACTTCAGATCTTGTGCGTATTTTACCCTCACAGCAGGTCTCAATTCCGTCAACTCACTTTTAAGAGCTCAGTACCCCCATGTGGCTAGTGGTTACGTTATTGGCCAGCCCATCTCTTTCGGGGTGGTAGTTGCGTGGGTATAGACAAATATAAAAATCTGTCTAGATGTATACTAACGACTTGTACGTTTCACTGTAAGTTACACTTCAATTTGAAAGTTTTTTTGTTTGTTTGTTTGTTTGTTTGTTTGTTTGTTTTAAGATTTTATTTATTTGCGAGAGAGAGAATGAGAGACAGCATGAGAGGGAGGAGGGTCAGAGGGAGAAGCAGACTCCCTGCCGAGCAGGGAGCCCGATGCGGGACTCGATCCCGGGACTCCAGGATCATGACCTGAGCCGAAGGCAGTCGCTTAACCAACTGAGCCACCCAGGCGCCCCTCAATTTGAAAGTTTTTTAAAAACCCTCTGCAGAGCTCTGCTCCGACGCCCCATGTGTTTCCCTTGGGGAACCTGGGTTGGAATTAGCTACTTCTATTGCATGGTGCTCCCGTTATATTTATCCCAATCTTCTGCTTCAGCTGGTTGCTTCTGTGTCGATCCAACTCATTTTCTTATAAGCACCCTAAGGTGAAGATCATGGTTTGTTTATTTTTTAATTCCCCAGAGGACTGCTGGGTTCATCGATGCTAAACCATCGATGGTTTCATTGAATCTGCATCTGTTATACACAGTTCTGTGGGCTGGCTGCAGGAGGGGCTGATCATTTGATTCTGTTCTCAGTCCTATTCCAGATGTTGGCAAAGGAGAGGGAGAGGAAGAGGAGGAGGAGGATGGCGTCGGGCCTTGTCCGCCGGTCGCCCCGAAGAATTGCCTTCTCCAGCGGGGCATCAGTGTCCTGGAGAAGCTCATCAAGACGTGCCCTGTGTGGCTGCAGCTCAGTCTGGGCCGGGCGGAGGCAGCCAGGATCCTGCTGCAGGAGGCGGCTGGGGTAAGTTGGGGTCTCTTTGCCTTGTGGCCGATGGTGGGCGGACACAGCTGCAAGGAGCTGCCGGGCTCCCACCTAAGCAGCTGGCCTCTGCTTTCCTTTCTTGGGCTGGTCAGCTTTTCGACTGGGGTGTTTTTTCCAGAACAAAGGAGTGAGAGACTGGCGGGACATCTGGTTCCTGCTTTGGAGAGCAGGTGTCCCCCCTGGAGAACAGGGGACTGTGTGGCTGGCGTGGGCTGTGTGGGCACTGGGGCACTGAAGAGGCAGGACTCACACTTGGAGAAGTCAGCCACGCATCTGGGACCAGAGGGGATCAGAGCTGGAGGTACCTGAGAAATCATATCACACCCCCTTAGTTGACGTATGAGAAGCAGGGGCTGTGGGATGGAGGCAAAAGCTTTTCTGCAGCCAGGCTCTGTGAGTTGAGCCAAGGGGCTTAGATTTTTCTGAGGCTCACTTTTCTCACTTTGAAGTGGGGCCGTTAGTGAAGGTACTCTGGTCCAGGTAGTATGAGCATCACAGGGGAAGGAAGATAGGTAGATAGCAAAATGTGAGTCAGAACCCATCAAATGCCACCCACCCCACGCGTTTTTCTCTTACACGCCACTTCCTTTTTAAAAAACATTGAGTTTGTTTAATTATAAAAGTGGCAAACATGTGTAGTCACTGTAAAAAAAAAAAAAAAAAAATCAAGCTGGACAGAAGTGAAGAGTCTTCTCAAAGCTTTTGCCACCTGTTCTCTTTCCCCTCACCTCCTTCCCAGAAGTCTTTTTTCGGTTTTGTTTGTTATTGAGGTGAAAGTCACATCACAGAAAATGAGCCGTTTTCAAGCACACTATTTAGTCTGTTCACAGAAGCAGCACCGCTGTCTGCTTCCAAAACATTTCATCACCCCGACATAAAGCCCCGCATCCATTAAAGCAGCCGGGCCTTCTTCCCCTGGCCCCGGCAGTCACCAGTCCGCTGCGGAAACCGTGTTTGCTCCAAGCGCATGGTCTGTCTCTGCAGGCATTATCCTCAGAGTCCCCCGGTGACAGCAGCTGGGGTCCGTCAAGCACTATGTCCCAGGCACTCACCGAGGGCATGCACGCGAATCAGCACGTGTGTGCTCACGGCAGCCCTCTGACGTGGGCATTGCAATCAGGCCCATGTTACAGAAGAGGTAAACTGAGATGCAAAGAAGCTGAGTGACCTCCCCCAGGTGACTCAGGGAACAAGGGCTGGAATTTGAACCCAGGCAGTCTGGCTGCTCCCGGGCTATGTCGTATCTGCATGTGCAAAGGGAATCCTACCTTTCAGCCGCTGGGCTCACCTTCAGTGCGGTAGGTCGTGCTGTGGGTGCTGCATCTGGGGAAGAGTCCAAGCTCCACATACATGGGGCTCAGGACGAGATAAAAATCCATCAAGTAAGCAGTTGTACCTGAAAATTGGAATTACTGGAACTTATGGGCCCTCCAACAAAGTTCCAACCTCCCCTTGCCACAGAGCCCCTACCAGGGGGAGTGGGGACCATAGAGGCCGGACAGCCCAGCAGAATCCTGCCGAGACCAAGGGGGGGTCTCCTCTGGGTTATGGTGGCAGGCACCCTGCGGCCCAGGCCAGCCCCACTGCAGCACCAGGGGCAGCCCGGGAGTCTGCAGATCCCTCTAGAGGGGGGAGCTGGGAGGGGGCTCCAGGGGCAGTCAGGTTGACTGTCGTCCTCAAGAAAACAAGCTCTGTTGTTTCGTCCCTCCCCACCAAAAGGTTTTCTATTTTGAAAATAATATCGGGGACTTACGCCAGCGAGTGTCCCAGTCAACCTTCCCAACATGTCCAGTCAACCAAAGAATCACCCACTTCCCTGTTAGCTTCTGAGGGGACTTCCCACCCTTCCTGGGGGGATGCGGCTCAAAAATAGGCCCAAGTGCAAGGTTTGGATGCTGAGGGATGGCCATTTTCTGGGCCTTTCTTGGTCACTAGGGGAGATGTGTCCTGGGCATGGACGTAGATGCGGGTGGACAAGACAGTAAGGACCCTTCGTGGGAGAGGCAAGTGCATCTCCAGGGCAGGCTGGGCCAGCCGAAGTCCTGACTGCTCTGCCCCCAGGGGTCAGCCCTGTCTTCAAAAAGTTTAAGATAAGCCCAAATCAAAATAACAAGAGTGGCTCTATGTGAAGATTGCTTCTTGATGCGGGGCTCTGTACTAGCATTAATGCCAAGCCCTATATGATGTCATCTCATTGAATCCTTGTGATAATCCTGGGTGGCCTCTGAATCTGCCATTATCCCCAATTTACAGATAAGGAAACTGAGGCTAAGAGGAGTGCCCTAGTTTGGGCTTCCCCAGAAGCAGACCCCAAGACAAGGATTTGAGTTCAAGTGGTTAATTTGAGAGGTGATGCCAGGGAAGCCGGCAGGGGAAATAAGACAGGGAAGGGAGGCAGCTAATAAAAGGTATGTGATCATGCAAGTTACCACAGGCTGCAAGGGGAGCTGGATCCTGCTGGATCCTGCTGGAGCATTCTGTGAACCAGTGTGGAACACATATCTCAAGGCCATCCCACCCAAGAAACTAGCAAGCTCCTTGTCCACTGACTCCTGAGAGCCATTGGTTCAAGGCTGTGGGGTGTGAGGATCTGTCTTCCAGTACCTCCTCTCTGCCCTGAGGATGAGAAGATCTGGCTGTGGCCAGAAAGAGATGTCGAGCTCTGGGGTGATACGGGCAGACCTCCTGGAGGAGGCAGATGCTGAGCTGGGTCTTGCAGGATGGATGGGCAGGACTGGGATGGGGGAGCAGAGAGGGTCTGTTGGAGAATTGGTGGGTCTCCGAGCCAGCGCTGAAGACAACAGAATTGGAGCAGATGCGCCTTCTCTTGCCTTCCCTGCCCCCTCCCTCTCTGCCTTGATCCCTGACTCTTCACATCTGTATTTTCAAGCAGAAGCAAAGCCCGAAGTGCATGCTGTGATAAGAACAATTGGCCAACTTTTACCCAGGGTTGTTCTTTGCACAGTCTTATCTATCCCCACCATGATTTCTGTCAGGTGGTTGGTATTATTAGTGCCCTTATTTCCCCACTGAAGAAGTAAAGGTGAGGAGAGGCTCACTCACTTGCCTGAGGCCACACAACTAGTGAGAACAGAGTCTACGGGGTGTGACCTTCAGCTGGGTAACTTCATCCCAGCACTGAAACTCAGCCAGCGCAATGCTTTCCTCATTTTTAAAGCTGCAGACACAGGCTCCTGGGTGGCTCAGTCGGTCAAGTGTCTGCCTTCAGCTCAGGTCATGATCCCAGGGTCCTGGGATCGAGCCCCGAATCGGGCTCCTTGCTCTGCGGGGAGTCTGCTTCTCCCTCTGTGCCTCCCCCTGCTCATGCACTCTCTCTCTCTCCCAAATACATAAATAAAATCTTTTTTTTTTTAAGTACTTTAAAAAATGGGGGAAAAAATGGTGCAGACACCACAGGTGGGCCCCAGGCTGTGAGAGCTCGAAGGGTCTTCAGAGATCGCCTGGACCCCACCTCTCCTGATGAGGAGGATGCTTCCTCCTGTCCAGAGGCGAATGGTCAGGAGACCAGGCATCTGGCTCCTTTGCCCACCCCCCAATATCTCTGTGATCTTGACCGTGCCCCACCTCCTCCACCCCTCCCCATCTCCCCTCTCTGCAGTCTGCTTCTCTGATAAGGTATTGGGAACATACTGGCCCATTTTTGATTTGTGTGTATCCAGAAACAAGGCAATCAAAAAGCCGCCTTTATTCATTCTTCACCCAAATGGTGCTTTTTTTTTTTTTAAGTTTAATTTTAGAAATTTTAGATTTACAGAAGAGTTGCAAAAACAGTATGGGGAGTTCCTGAATACTCCTCACCCAGTTTCTGCTACTGTTAACATCTAACACTGGTAGGATACATTTGTCACAATTAATGAAGCAAGTTTGATACATTCATATGAACTAAAGCCCCTAGGCTTTACCTAATGTCCATTTTCTGTTGCAGCATTTCAGGCAGGGCGCCATCTTACATTTAGTCATTGTGTCTCCTCAGGCTCCTCTAGGCTGTGAGAGTTTTTCAGACTTTCTTTGTTTCTGATGTGGCCTTGACAGGTTTGAGGAATATAGGTATTTTAAGGTATTCGGTAGGGGGTCCCTCTTTTGGGATTTATCTGATGGTTAGACTAGGGTTATGAGTTTGGGGGCGGAAGACACAGAAGTAAAGTGCCTCTCTCATCACATCATGTCAGAAGTACCTACTATCAACATGACTTATCACTTACTATCCGTGTTTACCTGGATCACCTGGCCGAGGTGCTTGTCAGCTTTCCCCTCTGTAAAGTGAACCTTTCCTCCCCTTATGCTGCCCTCTTTGGAGGGAAGTCACTACGCACAGCCCATCATCAGGAAGTTCCTTGACTATCTACATAAGAGTTCTTCTGCACAAGAGACGTAGTCTCATCTTCACTCATTTATTTATTACATCATTTACTTGTAGCAATATGGACTTGTGGATATTGCCTTTCTGCTTTGGGTTATAATCAATACTACTTTAATGATTCTGTTGCTCAGATTGTTCCAGCTTTGGCCATCGGGAGCTCCTTCAGTTGGTTCCCGTGTCCCTTTGACATACGGCCACCATTGCATGTGTATGTGTGTGTTTGGTTTTTGGAGTGCTTCCTTACTTCCTGACACCGCATTCTCCAGGATTGTCTTGTATATTCCTTGTCCCAATCCTAGAATCAGCCATTTCTCCAAGGAGCTCTGGTCCCTTTTATTAGAGAATAATATTAGGAAGCAAGATCTGGGTGTTATGTGTGTTTGTTGCTACTGGTTTGGAGTACGGAGTGCCACGGCCTGGAGGACAACAGATAGTTTTTAATGAGAGAAATCTCTCGTAAGATTGCTTTTTGTAGTGGGGGGTTAGCTCAAGAGTCGGAGTAGCCTGTGTGGTGATACGGACCAGCTGTGTAGGTGGTTCAAGGCACCTTCCCCAGGTGTGAGCCCAAGGAATGCCAATTCCATTCAAGATTCGTTTG